ATTTACTTATGACTATAAGAGCGAAAAGTATTCGAGTCCGAATGATTATTATGCTGGTATCCAAGCAGAATGGGCATTCAGGGTAACGGAGCAAGAAGGATTGTTTAATGATCTACGTAACTTTGGGGCACCGGTACCTCATCGCCGTTCATTGACCATGGCTAGACGAAATGTGAGTGACTATGAAAAAGTAGTTACCAGAATTAAGAAAGAGAACAACAGAATGTTGATGCGGAGATGTCGACATTTCATGCTTTAGCTAGCCACTGAAATGGCAGAAGCAAGTAACAGAAAATTGACAGTGATTGAGTGAAATAATGTCTTAAACAATGAAAAATATCTCTCTGACTACTACATGTTAGATGAGGGATGGGAAATCAAACACCTTTATCTTTCATATATGTTTGTATGTTGTGTTGTGTCGTATCTTCATTATTGGAGTATAACACAATGTTGTTATTCATCTAGCTTACGGATGTATTTCAACTATTTGTTATATGAACCTGAAGTTTATGAAATCATTACATTTATAAGTACACATGTCAAGATTCATTACAAATTTCTCTTCCTATTGATAACTCATGTATAAACATTGCAAAGCTATTACAATGAGTGAAAACGTTTGGTCATCCATGCAACCAAGTTCATTCAGTATCATCATTATATTCCACTTCAATAATGCATAAAATCATGAAAGCCTAGTTCAATTAGCGTTTTTCAAAATAACAATAACGGAGAGAAAGCAAAAGTAATTGTTATTTGTAGAATTACAAGAACTATTCAAAAACTATTGAAATTTCTCCCTTCATTGATAAGTCGTAGATAAATGTTACAAATCCATTACAAGATAAATGGTTTGGTCATTCATCCAAATAATTTCATTCATTATCATCATCATCTGACATCTCAATATCAGATTCATACATAGCATCTATGCTCCAGGTGAAGTACTGGTGCGTATCATCCATTAACCCATCTTCGGCATGCTTATTTGCGGTCTTCATTAGTTCAGACCTTTACAAACATTGGGTCATGCGATTAACTTCGTCACGGATACGATGCAATGCCCTTTGCAACAACTGTGAAGTGTCAATTGGCATACGCATGGCTAACCGGTGAGGAAATTTAATATTAACTTCACGGCATAGTTCAATAAGAACGTTTGTTCGAGTTATGCGAAATTCCCACTCAGCTCTCATGGTATTGACAGCAGCATGTGAGTAATGCAAATTTGGATTTAATGGGTATTGAAATTTATCTCCATCTGCAACCCAATGGCGACCTATTGTTGAATATAGATCAATCACCGTATATCTTATGATGATATCGCTCGATATATTTATAAAACTTTTGTTGTGGTATGATGCGATATTTATACCACATATACACAGTTGTTGTAACATGCACAAATTCAAAATGGAGATGGACGCAAGTATTCATGTCTTATAAACTCTAAACTCACATGCTGACAATGAAGTACTAATACTTCAGGAAGTTTATATAGTAGCTGTATGTTTCAAATTATTGTAAAAGAGTTGTCACGTCAACCTTTATGACCTGAACAACTATGCATGAAATTTATAAGAGTTGTCACTTCGACTTTTATTGACTACTTAGTGGATAAACAAAGTCCAAATCCGCTTAGAAATTTAATTTCACTTTTCCGCCTACAAATGTAATTCAATTTATTTTTCATTAAACAATAGTTTAATTTCACTTTTTACCTAACATATTTAATTTAATTTAATTGGAGAAATTTAAACAATTTATTTCAAGTTAACTATGTGTTGATTTAAGTCGGTGTTGTTCTTGTCTGCATACTAGGCTAGCTTTTATCTGTAACACTTTCAAGTTCTAAACATCGAAAAACCCATCTATAAGTACTCTACTACAAATTAATCTTCAATACATTCCAACTCTATAATATTTTCTCTTCAAGGTTTATGAATCTATTTGAAGTTACATAGGGTGGCTTTTTAAACACAAGGGGTCTAATTGCTTTGTTGTTTTGTTCTGACAACCCCTCATCCCATTATGAATTGCTTAAGTTCACACAGGCACAGTAGCTATGGTCTGACCTCTTGCTTTTTTCATACAGTGAGTAGTCTCGTCAAAGTCGTCGCAGTGATACGTCCAACATTTCTCAGTCATGCAGTGATGTAATGACTTTAACAGATGTAATAAATTAAAGGACTCAATGAAATGGCCAAGTTCACATGGCCACAATAAACAACGTACGGATGATTGGTCTTTTTTGAAAAAGTGAGTAGTCACCTTCGAGTGACGATTGAAGTACTGATTGTGTGGAGCGTGTTTAGCATTGATTGTTTATTACTCATAAATATGTGGGCTTTTAATGGCATGTGATTTTGTGCAGCGCGACTTAGATACTTTGTTTTTCCTCACATTTCAGATTTGAATTATTAATCACATTAATATGACCACATGGCAATAGTGTTGATAAACAATTATATAAAGGACTGAAGGAGTGATGGTAAACACACAACCTTTCCACTCAGTTCTCCCTAGGAAACTATCATTCATTTATTGAGTAAAAATCAAATGGAGTATACATTCACAACAGGGGGTAGGAATCGCAGAAGTAAGAGTTCACGACAAGGAAGAGGAACGAGAAGGGGACTCGCAAGGGGTAGGAACTTCAAAAGAGGTAAGAGTTCATGCCGAGGAAGAGAAACGGGAAAGGAAAGTGGCGATGCTGAAGTTGAAACACCGTTTGATTTGTTAGATGCCTCTTGTGCTGATCATGATAGGTTTGGGAAGCGACATTTTGTCATGCCCAAGTACTATCAAGATTCATGTGGTTTCGTGGAAGATCCATTTGTTAATCAAACAAGATATGGTTTAACAGACGCTACACTTCTGAAGTGGACTGCATTATTTAAAGAACACGTGCAAATGGAAAGATTATGTCGGGAAAATCGACTGAAGGTGCTGAAAGCACATTCAGTTGAGATCCAAAAGGGAGATCTAGATAATATTGATCGACTATGTGAAAGACTTCGACGTGAGATTTCTCAAATACGCCATAGGTTAACCTGCGATATGAAACTATCTATACTTAAGTCGAATGTCAAGAAGAACGGGACAACACCAAATGGTGAGGCTATTAAGGCTGTCAAGGAAGATCCTGCACTTCTCTCTGACACTGAGCTCTCAGATTGTTCAGACTTTGAGATTGGCGATTTGAGCGAGGATTAGGCGTCTATCTGTCTACTAAATTATATTAGGTTATCCATAATTATGTATTGTGTGTGTTAAAATAACTCTTTCGACAATGAGTTTGTGAAAAGTTTGTCTAATATTTGTCTATGTAACTGTTAAGTATTGTACTGGTCGCTTTATTTTATGTACTGTGTTATGTTGAATGTTTCCACAAATTATTTTTGTGGGATACTTATGTTTGAACTAGCTATGTCGTTCTAAAGTGTTATAAGTGTTATAGTCATACCTTTATTTTGTTTTTCTGTTCGTAGTAGTAATTAGCAAATTAGATACTTTGTATATGCTGTGTGAAATTTTATTTAAATATTTCTTGGCAACAAATATTTAAGGGAACAACAAATATATAGTTTCAAAAATTCCGCGAAAGTAGGCTTAGTTTGAGAAAAAAATTAGTATAAAGGCTTAGTTTGGGAAAAGCCCCGACAAAATCTCTCCAAAACTGTGCAAAATATTCTCTAGGGAGGGTGCGTGTCTCGAGGCCATTATTTTCTTCTTCTTTTTAAATTTTTAACTTTTAATTTGTTGTTTTTATTTTTGTCCATCATCGATCTTTTTAAAATTATATTTGAATTATATAACAAAATAAAAATTTAATTTAAAAATTTATATTTAAATAAAAATTTTAAAAAAATTATCAGATAAATTAAGCAAATATTTAATTTATATCTTTCTATATTTTTTTTTTTTTACTTTTATATTTTTGAAGTCATAAGCGGTGATCATTGATTCAATAGTAAAATCTTAGTTTAATAATCTTTGATATGATATTTATGCTTGCTTGTTTGTGATTTTTTATTTTTATTTTTTTATGCTACATCATTACAGCTTAAATCAGAACTCTCTTAATCACTACTCTTTAGACAATTCATATTGTTTATTTTTTAAAAAATTTATGTAAATATCAAATTGATCCGATAATCGTACATATAATCTTATTATTTTTTTAAAAATAATGGATGAGAAATATAATTTTAAAATTACATAATTTTTTTTAAATATTAAAATAATAAAATTTGGTAGGTAAGATTATTTATCAATACGATATTTTATATGAATAATTTATATATAGAGATCTAAAAGATGACTGAGTGAATTATAGAATGTGGATTGAAGAGAAATCAATCAAAATAATAATAAATAGTATTCAATAATTGTGTGCTAATTTTAGTTTAAAAGCATGATTACAAACTGTATTTTTTTTTAAAAGCATTAAAAGCGTGATTTTAAAACACGCTTTCATTAAAAATGAAATAAAAATATGTTTTGGAAATACGTTTCAACTTATTTTTGGGACTACCGACCAAAATAAGTTTAGGCTTGGTTTGGGATACATTAAGCCTGTGTTTGGCAAGTAGGTTTGCAGGCCTTTTTTTGGCTATTTTAGCCACAAAAAACAAAATAGGCTATTTTAGCCATAACAAACAAAACATCACATCCAACCCATAATCATTACATTCTTCTCTCACAAAAAAACTCAAAAAAGCCAAAAAGCCCTTCCCAAACCAAGCTTTTAAGCCCAGGCTAAAATAGCCAAAAAAGCCAAAAAACCAAAAAGCCAACCCACTTCCCAAATGGAGGCTAAATAATATAAAAAGTTAAAAAGTTACTATCTTATTTAAATCACATCATCTTATTTAAATCACATCAACTCTCTAAGATATCATATTAAACCAAATCCAAATCCAACTTATATAAACCAATAAATCAAAAAATATATTTTTTTAGAACATCCAAACCAACCCTTAGTTTGGGAAATAGGTTGGTAGGGTGGCTTATTTTGGGAAAACGCCCCAAATATCAACATAAAAAGAATTGTGGTAATGGAGAAGAAGGCGAAGAACGCAGAGGCGATCGACGATCAAGATCACGATCGTCTTCCTTACAGACTTGTTCTTACTTGCCCCTCAGGTCTCTCTCCTTCACAGGTTCTTCCACTCCACTTGAGTCCCATTTTTCGAAATGTTGCAATCTTCAATTAATCTTATTCTTTCATGTTCCTTTCCTATCTCATCTCTGCGTATGAGCTGTTAATTTTTGTATAAACAAAGGTGTCAGTGGTTTTTGATCAAGCATTCGATAGGATTCCCCATCCCGACATCAACTTGGAAAACTCCATTTCTGAGGTTATAATCTGGGTTTTGTCCCTTGCTCCATTGTCGATTTTTATGAATCATAGCTATATAATTGAGTTCATATGTGATATGTATGTCATTGCATATGTATATATATATTTGTTTCATAATCATAGGGTTTTATTGAGATCTTTTGCTAAATTCAGCAGAGCATCTGAAATTAATGCAACCCATTATTGTGTTTTAAAATGTTGAATTCCATGCGGCAATGACATACTTGAACATAATAACTGATTGTTAATTGGATTGAAATTGGAAAGAGTACTGAAGGTTTCAAGTTAGGCTGCGTTTGGTTCATGGATTTGGGAATCATTTTGGAAAGGAAAAGGGAAAAGATGTGTGAAATGTAGTTATATTTCATTCACATTTCTCCTATATTTTCTTTTTTCCTTTCCAAATCCCTACCCAAATTCATGAACCAAACACAACGTTAATGGTCATTTCTTGTGATGGGTTTTTCCTTGTTCATGAAGGCTGCATTCATTCAACACTATCCAATCTCTAATGCAAATTATTTATTTATTTTTTTTACTTGGGTAATAACTCTTCTCTTGTCACCATTTTCCGTATTCAAATGATTTGCAAAACAAAATGGATTAGTTTGTTTTTTATTGGACATTTAGACCAATCTTAAATCATGAAGTTGAATTTTTAAATTTTTTTTTTTTTTTTTTCATTATCTTGTCACCATTTTCCGTATTCAAATGATTTGCAAAACAAAATGGATTAGTTTGTTTTTTATTGGACATTTAGACCAATCTTAAATCATGAAGTTGAATTTTAAATTTTTTTTTTTTTTTCATTAGGTATGGGATCGAAGGGTCCTACAAAACACGTCGTTATTCAATGGCAAAAAGTTCAGGGTATGTCAATTTTTATTGGAATGCAAGTTTGTCTCATGTATTTACTTTTTCTTAATTTTGTCATGTTACTTTGGGCATACGATCTGATTTTAGATGTTTCGTATGGCATTTGTATATAATGCCAGTGTTGTATTTTTTATTTATATTTATTCTTGGCAATGAGAGGACTTGAGCCCTTGGAATTAAGGTTATGAGACCAAATTTGGGTGCCACCTGGCCTACTGGGATCGTGATATAGGTTATCATATGAATGGACATGATGAGCTCTAGATGCCCCAATCAACAAAGGAACTAGGGACCTTGGGAGTACCAACACTCACCTAATGCAGCTTTTGCTGATTAGATTGCAGGATAATAACTTTTGTGGTTGTTGGGATACAAATTAACAATATAATTTAATGTAGGACAACATTAGGGAAGTTATTTTGCGGCTCACTTCATTAGACATTCATGGCTAACCAAGGTTGTTAAAATCGGGATCCTACGTTGGATCATCGTAGGTGTTTATAGGATCGGATCGTAGAATCGGATCGAGGATCGTAAGATCCTACCGAAAAAGACAAATTACATAATAATTTAATTTAAATAAATATTTCTTATAAAATATATACAAAATGAGCCTATATTCTATTAAAAAGAAGTGAAGATATTGTGAAAAAGATAATACTCCATGTAAAATGTATATATAATATTATGCAATAGAAAACTCGATGGTAAAAGTTTTGTATTTCATCAAAAAAGAAGGTGAAGAAGAATAATAATTCTATAACAAAATACTTTACAATCTACAATAATGGATAAAAAATGAAGAAAAAAACATTTAACAAAATTAGATATGAAAATAAATTAAGAACTCAAAAAAGCAGCTTAGTCGAATGATAAGATTTGTCGTTAACATCCCTGGTGGAGTGGATTCGAGTCACAAAAATAATTTCTCCAAAAATTGAGACAAAGTTGCAATCATCTTACTCTCCTTAGACTCCGCTAAAGCTAATTTTGTTTTTCCGACTATTTAATTTTCTTAAATTACCACAATATTTGAATGTTTGTTTCCTAATTTGTTTTTCTTAGTCTATTTAATTCAATACTATTTAATTTTTATTATTTATTTTGATCACATAAATTGGTATTTAGACAACAAACATAAAATTTACAATAAAATATGTCATACAATACAAAAGAAGGCTTATAAATTGGATCGGATTCGGATCGGGATTCCATGATCCTATAAAATCCTACTACCAAGATCGAAAGATCCTACCTATAAGGAATTTTTTACACGATCCGGATCGATTGTACTCAAATGGATCGTAAGATCGTAGGATCGTAAGATTCGGATCGGGTTTCTGATAACCATGTGGCTAACAGCTAGTGGCGTGGAGTTTTATGGACACATTGACACGACAATTTTTATGGAACTTAGCAAGAATGAATACTCCAAGAAATAGTTATGTATATATACATGTAAATATATCTTCTTCATTTTTACGTAACAAATATATTTATTATATTTCATTATATCAAAATAGTTAGAAATCATTTTTGAAATTATGTATATTGGAAAATAAGTGTTAATAAAAAATTAACAAAGGAACATTTCACAAATAAATTGAAAAATTTAGGTTCTTGAGTTCCTAAAATTAAAAATTCTAAAAGAGAAAGGATTAATAGATATAAATTCACATTATTTTGATTTTAATAATTGATTCCCCATCTTATTCTCTTCAAACTTGCATGTATTTCATGTGTGTCTAACTAATAGATACAGTTTTCTTTTGAGTGTGCAAAGAATGCTGGGTTCTAAAAAGATTAAACATAATAATATGACACATTTGGACACATGTCCACTACATGTGGAGTGTCTGACATGGACATGGTATCTTCTTAGAAGTGTCTGTCCTTTTTAGGAGTCTGTGATTGGTGTAAGCAATGGTAACAATTTGGAGGGCTAAAGAAATTAAGGGAAGGCAAACTTTCAAGTTGTTCCAGGTGCTGTGAACAGTACCATGACCCGTGTTTCTTTTAGGTGTTATAATTGCTGAAGGAGGAATGGATTTGTTCATTGAACATGGTTTAGTGGTTTAAAGCAAAGATTGCTTCTATCTGGCTCTAAGCTTTAAATGCTTTAAAGTGCAAGCCATTGACAGAAGAAATAATATTTTAGGATCATTTCCAAAATTCTGTAGGCATCACACCTATGGTTTGAGTTGCATCACAGAAGAGAGGATACTTGTTGGGAAATTTCTCTGTAGCTTGTTTTCTATTGAGTTGGAAGAAATATTTGGTTTTATCTAGGCTTAAACTTTTAGGACTGTCACTGCAAACAAATTAGAGAACTAAATAACTTTGAATTCTAAAGCCTGTCTAAACTAACTAGAGAACATATTTGAAGACCCAATAAATGTCTGTTTTTATCAACAACAACAACAAAAAAAAAAGAGCCAATAAAAATATTTGAGGGTATGGGTACGAGGTATCTTGGTGTTAAGAATGAAAAAGTTAAGAATATAAGTCAATATATGTTAAGAATGAAAGTTTACTTTGTGTACTATTTTGACAGATTTTCAACTTTACTAATTATCTCTTACCAGTTAATTGATTTTTTTGCAGTATGGCGGACACGACTTGAATAGTGAAGGTGACTCCAATCAAAAGCATCATGTTTGCCTACACATTGGTTTGACAGATTATAGGTTTGCCTTCTCTTTCTCTTGCCTCCACACACACACACGTAGACACTTAAACTAACAAATAGCACTTAGTGTTTCCCTTTACAGAATTCCGTTGCATTAAAGTTTTCATATAGTATGTATTCAGATCACATTTAATACCATTCCAAGAGAAATTATGGTGAATGAAGGGTCTAGGAGTATCTTTGTTTTCTTGACGTGGTTTATTTTTAAAGTGTGGAAATTCAGTTTTCTTTTGGTAGAATTACAAATTTTAGTTGTTATGGTCCAAGTTCATAAAGAAATTACATTCTAGAAGTCTCTTGTTAGAAAGGTCTCTGTTGTTGGTTATGTAAAAGTAAAATGTGGGCCAGCTCCCTAAGGAAAAGAAAAATTGATCATCAACCCTTAAACAACCTCAAATAGAAATGTTGGTTTCAAAGCAATGTAAATTTGCTTGAATTTTTACATAAAAAATACAAGTACAATTCATTGACAAACACTTGAGAAACCAGTTGATTGACGCCAAAATGTAGTTTGAGATGAAGGTAGCTATTTCAAATTAAGGAGATTAGTTGGTGCGTTGTATCAGATTTTTATTGTGTTCACAATGACATTTGAATGTGAACAACATAATTTCATTCTCTTGTATGAGTTTGCTTTTATCACCAATTAAATTAATTTATCCAAACACAATTGCAAACAATAAATTAAAATCAATCGCATAAGCACACAATAGATGAAGCTTGTGATTTTTTACTTGGGAAATCCAAATAGAGAAAACCATGGGACCAATCCAAGTTTGACTCAAACCAAGCACTATGATGAATGAACAGTTACAAGACACAACTTACAAACCACTGTTGAATTCACAACCTACGGACTTCAGTAGTCTTGCCGAATCCACGTTCATTGTTCTTTGTGCTTGATCAACCTAGTTTGATTCTTTGGATTTTTTTCTTGCCCTTGACTTTATTTTGAAATTTCAATATACCATTTTTATTTTTATTTATTGTTATTTTTTGTGACTTTGTTGTCTATATAATTTATAATCAATCTTTTCTCCTACAATGATGATATTTGTGTTGTTTTACTTATTACTCAGGACTTTTGTGGGGACAAACTTAAGTCTTTTGTGGGAAAAGTTTCTTGTTCCATCAGAAGGTAAAGTTGCATGAAATTAAATACTATGTAGAATAGCATTTGTTCTACCTTCAGTTTTTGAATTGAATCTAGACTACCTACGCACAATATCCAACCCCTAGACGATCTTCTTGTTGAAGGGTTCCTTACAACGAGATGAGATGTCTCATGTATCGCAAAAACCTATGAAGCACTGACACTTCAAAATGGGTGTCGTGTCCATGCCAGACACATATGGGACACTGGCATGTTGGGGACATGCATGTCCACGTGTTAGACACCCCACATGACATATCAATTTTAATAATTATTATTTTTTGCAAGACAGTTTAGGAACACTTCACAGACACATATGTCTTGCCCTATGTTTGGACACACTTCAATACACCTTTGTGAATTTCTTTTTTATTATTTTAGAAAGATGATCTGGAGTTAATATAAAATTTATAAAAACAACAAGGGATAAAAGTAAAAATAAAATTCACCCACATATGCATTGATGCCTCTTGCATCTCGGTGCCCTAAATTTATATTCATATGCATAGAAAATAGAAATATATTAAAATATTTGTTGTATCCCCGCTGTAACTATATCCTAATTTTTTCAAAATCGTTGTCTTGTGGTTGTGTCCAATGACACAAAAATGGGCCAATAAGTCTTATTAGTACACAACCAACATTTTGCATCTTGCCATATTCTCAAAATTGTAAAGAGTGTTAAAGTAATCACTGGGTAGTTCTTTTTGCAACATGAACTGTAAATTAGTTAGTTAAATTCCTACACTCTTAAATGAGGAAACCACGAAAGAAAAGAATGGGATGTTCAACAAATAAGTTTGGAATAACATACCAAGTTTCAAGTTCAATTTTTGTGTTAAAAATTATGACATTTCATGTTTTTGAACAGTTTGAATCTACCAATATTGCTAATTATGGTCTTGATATTTTTAGAGTCTTGCCAATGTGATTCCTTAGATATTCCTGCCTAAAACACAATACCTTTGGTTGTTCGTAGATGATTGTAGACAGTGCCAACACACCTCAAATCCCCTGGGTAATGGTGCAATTGTTGAGACATCTGACAAGAGAATACTTGTGCTGCAAAGAAGTCATAATGTTGGGGAATTTCCTGGACACTACGTTTTTCCCGGAGGCCATCCTGAGGTATCTAATCATAAACTTGCAAAAATATTATTGGATTTCATAAAGTTGTAACTAGAGGTGTATATGGGTTGGATTGGTTTTAGAGCTGAACTGAAGCTACTTGATTCTCAAAATCTCAAGCCAAAACTGAACCAAACCAAATCAAGAAAATATGAATTCAGTTCTGAACCCTGGGTAAAAATTTTAAAAAGTCCCGTAACACATGTTACCCTGATGGGTTCAACAAATCCAATTATTTTGCCTGTAATGGCCCACTCATATATTTACAAGAAGAAGTAAAAGAGACAATGTTGCTGTGGATACCACGCCAATGGGGTGAATACAGTTGCTATATGAGGGATGTGGGCCAAGAGTAATATGGGGAAATGACGATCATATATATGGAAGAGGTGGGTTGGAAGTTGTTTCTGTTACCACTATGGGATAAGATTCTTTATGAATTGGCATGCATTTATTGTGAGAGTTTTGTTGCATCAACGATCCCACATTGTAAAAGAAGGATGTATTTGTTAGTTTTTTATGCTACATGTTACTAGCCATAGCATGGTGCGACCTATTGGGTGTATATGATGGTGGGCTGTAATATTTTTTATGGCATGCATCAGATTAGTTCTCGGGTTTGGTTTGGGTGAACTGAATATCCAATCTGACAACCCATCAACTGTCATGAGAACCAAACCAAATGAACCATGAAGGTTGGTTCAGTGCGGTTTACGGGTTGATTGGTTCACTTGTGCACACTCATACTTGTGACTGGGGCCATTGGTGGGTGCAATTAAAACCTTAGGCTAACAAGCACTAGGTCTAAGGATAACCACTTTGTACAAATAAAGCTGGATGTTAGGTAGGTATCTAGCTAAGAAGCATAAACATGGATATGCCTCTAAGGCAATTTTCAAAAAATATAAGACATGGCATGTGGGGAACACGCCCAAAATACGTAGTTTCATATATTGATTTTATATGTCATATATATGTATGAATCTTTTAGTCAAAGATAATAGATAAATAAAATATAGCACTAATTTCTAAAGTTTAAAAGATGAGGGAATAATAGTGTATAAATATACTCTGTTTTTTTTAATCATTGGATTCCAAGTTGTTTTGTTCAAACTCGTAATGTGTTTGATGTGTTTCTAAGTGCTGAACATATGTGTCCCCAAGTGTTCGAAGTGTGTCTGGATGTGAAATTTTCTTGAAATGTAATAGGATACGTTTGGATATGTGTCTTGACACCAGTCAGGAAGTGTCCTACGAGTGTCCGTCCAATACGGACATGTTATCTTTTTAGAAGTATCCATGCTTCTTTGGTATCTAGTCTACATTTAGCACCCACAACGCTGAATAATAGACCCTTTTTTATTAGAAACTCATCCGTGATTATGAAAAGTTAGTTAATTATATACTCTCTCTTTTAGATTTCAGATAAACTATTCTATATTTCCTGTACGCTGTAATTCAGCTGGCCACTGGCAGTTTACTCTTCCACAAGCTTGCTTTTGTAATATTTTATTTTATTTTATTTTTAGTGCAACTATTCTTCTATTCTTTAGTGTGGATGGGAATCAAGTGATTATAAACAGTGTTCTGACTTGGTGTATCTTTTTTTTTTCTGACTAATACACGGTTGATTTGGTTAATTGTTCAAATATACTACTCGGATGTTTGACAGCCTGAAGAAATTGCGATAGCATCTCATCAGTGTGGCAAAGACAAGAACAACACTGAGCTTATTAATAGAAAGATTTCTCAGGAGATGTTTGACAGCATTATCCGTGAAGTAGTTGAAGAAATTGGAGTACCTGCAACATCCCTTGTAAGTTATAGTTAATGATAGGAATATGCAACTATCGTCTTATGTTCTTATATCTTTTTTTTATTTTTCTATGATCATGTCACAATTAATTTCATTCTTTTTAATACTTTTATTTGTTATATGATGTGTATTTGTGTACTTGTTTTTGTGACCAAGAAGATGTATGAAAATGAAAAGAGAACTAGAATGGGGTTGGATAGCTTGTTACTTTTTTACCTCGTATTTTCAGCAAATGTAAAGGTATTCTTGGATAAAGTGATTTTTTATAAAAAGAACAATAACAATAACGATAAGAAAAACAAAAAATACAGGAATGTAATTTTGGTAAAATTATGATGAGAGCAGGCAAGTAGTGAAGCTATTTTTGATGCCTTGACTATGCATTTGGTAATCAGATATTTTATTTTTTTTCTAAAAATTTTGTGTTTGATCTGATTCTCATGCAGTGCTTTCCAGTCTTTATTGGTGTATCCCGCAGAGTTTTGAATGTTAGACCAGCGGCATTTTTCTTCATAAAATGCAGTCTTCCTTCAAAGGAAATTCAACAACTATATTCTAGTGCACAAGATGGCTACGAGTCAACACAGCTTTATACCGTTTCAATGGTTAGTTTGTATTCAATTTGTTCCTTGAGGTGTCTTCATTTGGTTAATTTGCATGATTGATAAATTGATTTTTTTATACCACTACATGTCAAGACCATGCTGATGCTGCATCTCAACCTAGTATTACAAATTCTTGCTTTCACTGATGATATAGATGCTGATGCACTTTCATTTTTTATTTTATTTTTTCTGTATCAGAACGACTTAGAAAACATGGCATCTAAAATGCCGGGCTGCCACCAAGGGGGATTTGCACTTTATAAATTAATGGTAGAAGAGATGAAGGATAAATAACCGTAGAAGCTATGAACCCATAAAAGGTACATACTCGGAAGTCCATGATTGCTACTCAATCTAGTTTATCTGCCCTTTACATTTGAGTGACATTTTTATGCCATCGACTTTATCTGTCCGTATGATTTGTCTTCCTGATGTAAGAACAGAATTACTGTGGCATATTACTTATACAGGTATCATTCTGCATTTGTATCAATCTCCTACGTACTAGTCATACTGGCTAACATGGCTTTTCACCACATGCCTTTTTAGTAAAACCCAAACTATGTTGAACATATATGTAATTCATGGTTTTAATGGCAAAATGATTTTATGGCATTGGCACCCATTTTAATAGTATGATTATGCTTTTATTTTAAATTTTTAATTCTTTTAGATCTAACTGGAAACCTCATAAGTAGCATTGAAGCAGAAAATAGCTTGCTGACATGTCAGTTCACTGCCAAATACTAAAAAAACTATTGGCAATTTGGATTTTTGGTCGAGTTGGATCTACATTTGTTTGTTGAACCATGTTAAATTTGGTGTCCTCTTATTTAAAAATAAAAAATAAAAAAAATCGGTGTCCTCTTATGGTGACGGTTCTTGGCTCTGTATATTTTTTTTTAACCTATATTTATTTTCTGGTGTTATTTACACAGTTTGTTAATTGAGCTTGATGCTGATTGATATGTAATTTTGAAAACATTTTATTTGGTTCGGAGATTCTTCTGAGAGGATATATCTGATTGCTTTATTGACTCTAGCTGCGTTACATGGAGTATTCTATTTCATCGTAGTATAGGTGTCCACGGGATATAATAAGGTAAGAGTATTTATGTGAAAGGCAAGAAATAATTCTTTATTAACAAATGTGAGCCTTTTTTGTTAATTTTATTTAAAAATATTATAGGACATGCAATATATAACTGTGGGTGGCATTGAGTGGTTACCATACATCGTCCCCTTGTAATAGCAGAACTCCAGAGGGCTCGACATGAAAGCTTTATTTTAAGTCGCATTAATCAGGCTGAAGGTCACACAAAAGGACTATTTGACCAACAAAACGTAGGAATTAGTGCGTTCTAAAAAATTGACTTTTCTTTCTAAGTGAAGGGCAGATCGCGATATGTCTCCAAAGTCTTATTTTCCACTTGACAAATAACAGTCATTGAGATGTATTTAAAAGTTTGTGATTAAACGTGAAAAATGAAAAATGAAAAAAGTAAATGTTGATTAGACAATTAATTGAGAGTGGAAATGTACCTTGTTACTTTATGCTATGAAATGAAAGTCATTATCTTGCTTGTAAAGGGTAAATTTAATGTTGGAAGCATGTTAAACTGACTGTTATCTTCATTTTGTCTGTCTATATTGTGAGTAATGATATACAAACATAAACTTTGTATAGAATGTCTACATAGAATGAGCTGACATCTTGTGAACCTTTCATTTTCAATCAAAACATTCATGATTGTTCTTATAATTTCACAAATGATGTTTACACATCATTCTGACATTTTTTTTATTTTTTATTTTTGTAAGTTTTATGTTTGTAAACCATTTTGCTTATGAATGTATGTATTGTGTTATGCTTGTAGATTTGCATAATGGTGAAATTTTTCTAAAATGTGTTTTGTGTGGTGAACTATATATTGGTGTGGTTAGAAAAGAGAAATATGGGTTACTATTCAAAAGCTTTTTATCCAAAATTATGAAACAGGATTGCTTTTGGATGAAATTTTATTTTTGTGTTTGAATTTTGAATTTGTGGGCCGGAAAAGTGAATGATATAGAAGTTAGCAATTCCTTCCATTGTCTTTTCGTTTTACAAATCTTTGTCATGAATCCAAAATTGACGGAAAGCAAGCTCTACAAGGCCAGGACTATATATTTCTTAGTATATTGCATAAATAAATTATATAGAATGTAAAATAGTTCTATCATTTTTTTAGGAACCCACTTTGCTTGGTTCCAATTTTTTCAAAAACACTTTTTGAAAATTCTATTTTCAAGTTTTTCATGTTTTTTTTTTTACTGAATTTTTTTAATATTTTAAGTAATTTTTTTTTTTACTTTTTAAACATACCTAACATAAATATACTTAAAAAATAAAAAAATTGTGAATTTTTTTTTTTAAAAGATTCACTAAATACCAATTTTTTTTTAAAAAAAAATATGAGAATTCGGTATGTTTTTTATATTTTTATGTATTTATTAATTTTTTAAAATGTTTTTTCACAAATTTTTTATTTTTTAGATACATTTAAGTAAAGTGTATCAAAAAAAGTAAAAAAAAAATTAAAATTTTAAAAATATTCACTAAAAACCATAAAACTCAAAATAAACACACTGAATATCATTATTGGGCTGAGCTATGAACCTAAATTCCAAGTCCAATTTGAAAATTAAACAAGCTTAAAATGTAGAATTAAAAATTACACAATTTCCCCTACATATATATTAGTCAGATTATATGGCTTGACTTCATTGTATGAAATATTTCATTAAAAAAAAAATAATTATAAACTTTAATGTAGAGGTTAAAAAAAGTTATACCAATACAGTATATAGGACTTGAGTTCTCTCCTGATGGGTTTTTTAATTGCACGGTGGTGTTGGGTCTTTATGGGCTCACTACGGAAGTTACATTAATGATTCGAACCGTTCAATATGTAGAACTCGTCGAGTATTTTATCTTTGCAAGAAATCACGTTGATTGGATATCGATAGTTACTTAATCAGATTATTTTTATATTAACAATTTATTTTTAAAATTATATTTACTATTGACACAAATGTGATTTGATCAAATGGTTATTAATATCCGATTAATGTGATTTTTTTACAGGGATAAAATATACGACGAGTTCTACACATTTAATGGTTCGAATCATTGATGCGAGCTCCATGATGAACCCAAGGAGGCCCAACAACTCACTCTAGTCCGATATGGACTGAACTCTCCCATAAAAATAATTTTACATCTTATTATGTTAGTCATATTTTAAAAATTACAAATTTATGAATACGTGTCACATCAATAAATATAAAAATTGTTAATTTATATAGTAATTTTTAAAATATATATAGTGCTACTATGGTTTGTAAAATATGTGTGGCTTTAAATACTAAATGTTTAATTTAGATTTTAAATTTATGAAGAGAATAAAAGAAAAAAAAATTAAAATATATATATATATATGTAATTTTTATTTCATTCACTTTTTATTTTCATAAATTCATTCCTAAATTTAAAATTTAAACAAAGCCTAAATAAAAATTGTATGCCATCATTATTGTTGTTTTGAAATTATTAAATTGTGTTTGGATTAAGAATTTCATTTCAATGCAAATTTATATTAAAAAAAAAAAAAAAAACAAGAAGAGTTGACTTCTATTTTATTCACTTTTATCCACTTGTGCCCATCACCAACCTTTTGACCTCTTTCTCAACCCTGTATATATGTCACTTGATTAACATGTGCAATCATTCATGGGTTGAATAAATTTCAGTTGTTTTGTCCCATTTTTCACATTCCAAGAAAATGCAAGAAACAGATTTTTAATAGATATATATTTTGGGAAGCGAATTAAAATTTTTTTATCAACTTTTTAATTAATTTCTATTTTTTACAAAAAAATTAAAAAAAATTAAAAGGTAATTTTTAACCATATTCTCAAAACACCTTATAATATAGGAATGAGATCTCACATGCTTAAAGTGGATAATTAGGAATCATTTGACCTTAGAAAAATTGTGGATAGAAATTAAATTAGCCACAAAATCAGGAGGTGATCCACCTATTAATGAAGTTCAAACAATTCTAATTAAGGTTGTGGGAAATCTAGTCATAAATAAACTTAATTTTCTTAGAGTCACTAATACTCTTTTTTTATCTTCTTGTCAAAGGTTGTTTGATAAATAAACTTTTTTTTTTAATTTTATTTTGATCAAACCTATGTTTTAAGAGATGTTTTTGAGCACTCTCATGATCCCAAGTTCGACATCAAGGCGATCTTCCTCATTATATGTCCGAAAAAATAAAACTATGTTTTTATAATCAATTACGTGCTCATCCTCTAATTGGATAGAAAGAAAATAATTACAAAAAGACTCTTTCGTTTGGGAAGTCATGGTTTGGGTTTTTTTGGCTATTTTAGCCATAAAAAATAAAATATGCTATTTTAGCCATAACAAACAAAACATCACATCCAACCCATAATCATTATATTCTTCTCTCACAAAAAAACTTAAAAAAGTCAAAAGGTCAAAAAGTCCTTCCCAAACCAAGCTTTTAAGCCCAGGTTAAAATAGCCAAAAAAGTCAAAAAGTTAAAAATCTAACCCACTTCCCAAACGGAGGCTAATTTGTTCCATTCTAATTAGAAGTTGAGAAAAAATGCATTAGGCGAACCTAATATCATAAAAGTGGTTGATTTTTGGGTTTTTTTGGCTATTTTAGCCATAAAAAATAAAATATGCTATTTTAGCCATAACAAACAAAACATCACATCCAACCCATAATCATTATATTCTTCTCTCACAAAAAAACTTAAAAAAGTCAAAAGGTCAAAAAGTCCTTCCCAAACCAAGCTTTTAAGCCCAGGCTAAAATAGCCAAAAAAGTCAAAAAGTTAAAAATCCAACCCACTTCCCAAACGGAGGCTTAATTTGTTCCATTCTAATTAGAAGTTGAGAAAAAATGCATTAGGCGAACCTAATATCATAAAAGTGGTTGATTTTTTTCATTATTTCAAAGAAGAGAATGTGTTGTGAAGGAACACTTTGAATTTCGGGTTAGATTTACTCTATAGCACATTTTAGAAAAAGGGTAAATTTTGCATAATTTTTCACTTGCACTTTACTAAATTAACATTATTTTTCCTTTTACCATTTATTTGAAATTGTCCTTACATTTTATCCCATTATCTAATATCTTGTATTATTTTATCTAACAATTTTTAGAATAATAACCAATTTTAAGTGCACTAAGATCCCATTTGGCAATTTGGTTTTTTGACTAAAATAGTCAAAAAAATGTATAAAAAAAAAATCAAATAATTAGAGAGTCACTAAAAAAAAGTTATATATCTCACTAATTTATGATTTTGATTAAACTAAAAAAAAATATTTCTAAGCATATTAATTTTTTTTCATCTCATAATAAAACGACCAAAAATCAAGGCAATCAAAATAGTCAATTCATAGATGAGGCCTAACTAAAATACAAGTCTTTTGTTTGGAGTAACTAATCTAAATTGTTTATAATTTTTAAAATTCTAAGACTTTATGCCAAATTATTTGGTATAACTTTTACACCTTATTAAGCAACAATAATATAAAATGTTGGAAAATGGC